TGAAATACAGTGAGTTACTTATGTTAGGCATCCCTGATGTTTTATCTTCTGATTTATTATATTTGTACATTCTTTTAAACTGCAAAACAAAAAACTATCATACTTTGCATATAAGATATGGATCAGCTGGTGGTAGCACCTTGTAAATTAGTGTTTAAAGCCCATAAGCATGATTAAATCACCTTTTCATTTTTCATTTGTTTTTAATTCCAGTGCCTATATTCTCTTACCTTGCAGTAGGAAAGAAAATTTTGTTTTGTCATAAGTTAGAAAATAAGCTTCTAATGGATATTGTTGCATCCTTGCAATGAAATCAAAGCAAATTCTGATTCAAGACCTTTCAATGACTGATTTGTGGGTCAAAGATTTGAACGTGAGCTATCCAGTATGCATTTGTTCAGCAGCTGGCCAGGTTCTAGGAATGCCAGAAGGCAAATGATATAGCTTCTGCTTCCAAATGAGGAGTAGACATTAATGATCAATAATAATAATAATAATAATATACAGATAGCACTGATTCATTGTTTGGAGAGTGGAACATAGTGAAGGGCAACTATAAAGTGCCCTTCTTATTTGTAACAAACATACATTTGCTGAATGTATGAAAAGGTTCTTGAACTAATGAATAACATTTATTTGTTGAGGAATTTCAATGTGGCAGGCATGTTATAGACACTTGAGATATAGCAGTTAGCAAAGCAGACAGAAATCCCTATTCTAATAAACAAATGATTTAGGTGTGAATGGAATCAAGGATGATGTCAAAGTCCAGGGAAAGTCACATTCTTTGACCCTCCCTGCCCCCGCCTTCCATAAAGGTAGTATATTTAATATATGTAGAAGGAAGTTAAAAACAAAACAAAAACACAAGGCATCCTTGAAGGGGACCGGAAGCTACAAAATGGTAGCATGCATTGAAGCCTACTGGCTCTGCTTTGGAGAGTGAGGAGGGTCTAGAGACTGTCTCCCACAAAGCTCTTTCAAAGTGCTGGTCAAGGCTACCACTTTCCCAGCAAGCATAGAGCTTTGATCGTGTTCAATTCACTGCTTTCAGGGGTGGTTCTCCATGGCAAAGGCTCTGTGAAGGGTGACCTGCTGGGTGTGAAACTGCTGCACGACTTCCTACTTCACCCATTCATCTATCCAAGTTTTCACGGAGTCCAGGAGAAAGTATAAAAGTTACCTTGAGGAGCAGGAGAGTGGAATGGTTAAGACTGTTTGGAATCTGACCCCTCGGATTTGTATCCTGGACACTCAGTTGTGTGACCTAAGGGAAACCACTTAAACTCTTTATGCCTCAATTGGCTTCTCTGTAATATAAGAATAATAGGACCTGTGTCCTACAGTAGAGAATAGGACCTAGCTCATAAAATGTTCTCATTTATGACACTTAAATGGGAAAATACATGTGTGGAAGTGACCACATTGCTACATACAGCTATTTTATAATCATTTTACAATACCATTATTTTGTTCCATAGTCAAAAGTAAAATAAATGTAATCTAATCCTATACAGTCAATTCAAACTAGTAATTTTTTTTAAAAAATCTACCTCTTACAAACCTGGATATAATAAGTAGTTGACTAAATCCAAGTGTTACTGTTTTCAGTTAGGCTTCAGTTACAGTTGTATAGACTGGGTGATAAATCTCCTCATGACCCCCTCTTTCCAACCTTCCTCCTGCACTTGCTTCTCCTCTCACTGGGCTGCAGATTGTCAGCAGGCCTGCTGCTAAGGAGAAAGGGGGATCTACTTCAGGACTTAGGGCTTGTGTCTGAGATCTGGAGGGCCTGTAGCCACTCCTCAGAGTGTTGGCTTTTGAGCTGGTCATGTCCAACTGCTGGCTGTCTTTATGTGTGGCATAATTGATGGCCTGAAAGTCCCTGGTGGCAGGTGACCTACGGGGTGCAATAACTTTTCCCACCTCACAGAGTGCTTTTGCCTTGGCTGGCTTCTAGCAGACTGAATTCACGAATGACTGACTTCAGTGACTTCCTGAGCTCTAGGGCATCCCAGCCAGTGCCCCTCTGAGCTATACAGGAAGTGAAGGGCAAGGAGCAAAGAAGAGATCTGTGGCTCTCTAAAGAGCATGTTTTTCCACCGTGCATTGCTGGCTCCTGAGACTGGATGTGTAGGTCCTGCTGTTCTGCAAACTCGGTAACAATTCAGGACCAGTCTTGTTGCTCATAAGTACCCTCAAACCTCAAGGGAGCTATGTTTAAAATTACTTAATTTCCTATCTCCGGGGAGTAAAAAGGGGGAAAGGAACAATGTGCAATGCTCAGAATTCTGTCATCTAATGTACCAGAGCTCGATTTTTTCTCTTTCCCTGTTACTTTTACGTTTCTTGACAGCAAAATACAGATCCAGCTATACCTCATTTGTCCCCTGGTGTAGGTGAGAAATCAAGCCGTGTGCCAGGACCCACTTTGCTCTGTGTATTTTTGTATTTGGAGTCTTTGTTTCTAGCTAAAGAGTAGCAATTCAAATACTTTTGTTTGTTCTTGGTTGGGTGGGTGGGGCAGCTGGTGGTCAAGGAAGCTGGGAAAGATTTATTTTATTGATATTTTACATGGGCATGTTACAGTCTTACGTCACAAAACACCCTGAACTTGGTAAGCACACAATAATTGCTAGCAAGTATTGGCCATTATATTGACAAATCTAAACAAATAAGGCTCTTGCCTAAGGTGTCCACAAATTCTCAGATATCAGTAATACCAAATCTTTCAGTATAGTCTCTGCGTGGCAGGATGTGTAGACATTACAAGGATAGGAATGTCCTTGTCTGTATATACTAATAGGGTTGCCAAATGTAGCAAACAAAAATACAGGACTCCAAAGTAAAATTAAAATTCTGATAAACAATGAATATTTGTTAAAGTATACATACGTCCAATTCAGATTTTTAATGTCTGATGTTTTTAGTATGTCCCAAATATTGCACAGGGGACCTGCATTTTACCTGACCTTCCTGTGTGCCTAGCACCTGTCACACTCTACTGACTTTGAAACGGTTCCCTTTTCCCAAATGTGAAGGCTGCTCTCAGTTACCACATCGAACCAACACTATGTCTATCCTAGGCTAAACAACCACCTTAAAAAAGTAAAAAGGGCCAGTGGTGAATGGAAAGGGGGATGTGGAAAATTATTCATATTAGGCCTCTTATGTCCACCCATAGAATCAAAGTGAGTCCTTTTTCAAAAAGGCACTGAAATAGGAAAATAGTATCTGTGTTTCTGTGTCTGGGTCTGTCTGGTTCTAAAGAATGTACATATCTTGAAGACTTAGTACAACCTATGTTTACTTGGGAAGCATAAGAAATGTGTCAACCCTTTGAAAGACTTCTAATTAAACTGCTGGAACTTTGATGTCAGAATTTGAGATTATTATTACATATTTTTAAAAGACCCAATTTCATGTGCCACTAACAAGAAGAAAAATATTGGCCTTTACAGTTACTGAATTTATTTTAAAATACAAATTATTACCACTTGATAAGCTGAATTTAGTGCATCAATCTCATTTTAGAAAATGCCCTCTTACCTGGAAGGGGAATTCCTACTTTTCTGACTTTTCTGTTAACGGTGACCATCAATAGTATCAGTTTTTGGTGTAAAATCAATGATTATATGTTACTCCAGGCAGCTGCTGAATATTCAAAGGATAGTAAATGGTTTCAGATAGGAGTATTTTATGAGAGTTCAAGGAGAGAGAACCAATGTATGTTGAGTGTCTGTTATGGGTTAGAGAATGCATGCTTCACATGTGTTTCTACTCTAGCCAACAACTTACAGAGGGTGACCAAGGTAAGTAATTTTCCTTGAGTAATAAAATTGTCTGATTCTGAAAGTGCCTTATCTTATATAACTCTTTTTTTTTTTTTTTTTTCATTTTCTTTACAGCCTTCACCTGCAGTTACTTTGCTTTTCAGGACTCTGAGCAAAAATCTCACACATTAACTTTACTTCCAACTCTGATAATATATGTGGCAATTTCTTATATAGCCAACATTTTTTTTATTTCTTTTGATGGGGTTATCATAAGTTCTTCCCATTATTATCTTCAAAATACATTTTAAATAAAATGATGCTCATTTATTTATGGATATCTAACCCCTCACCTGTACTATGTATTTAGTTTTATGTTTAAAATTTAAAGAATCTTGGAAATTGAAGAGTTCAACCTCCAACCCAGTGAACATGTCACATGAAAAACATACTTCCTGTTTTAACCTTTTAGTGCTAGAATGATCATGAGTTTTCGAGGCAGTTTATTCGATAGAGAGCAGTTTGCAATGAAGTCTCTGTGCTGAGCTGGTGTTGCCTCCCAGAAACGTTTTCTCACAAATTCTAGTTCTGCCTTCTAGGGTCACATAAATAAATTTAAATTCTCCCCTCACCCACCCCAGGTGCCATTTGCTAAACTGTCTAACTTTTCAGTACATTTATAGCCGGGAATTCTTACTATCTGATACTCAAACAGAGGATAATATTAAAAATGGTTTTGAATCTTATTTCTACACAATAAGGAAAATTGGAAAATCATACAAAAGTAGCAATTCATTACAGAGAAATTTAAGGGATAAATATGTATTTCCTTATATATGTATACATATATACACATACAAATATATATATGTGTGTGTGTGTGTGTTTGTGTATTTCCTACTAAACAGTAATATAATGGGAACATAAACTAGAAGCAAAGTACCTCTACTCAGTTGTCTCTTGAGTAATTCTCCCTCTGATATGTAGGGGACTAGAACTAAGTAAATAAGTAGCCAACATTTCCGTGTTGGGTTTAAGGCATATTGCATCCATAAATTTCATAAATGCAATTCCATAAATGGCATTCGGATTTTTTTCTTCAGAAATAATCTTATTGAATGTTGAAGGGTTTTCTTTGTAACACAAAGCACATACAGCATAGAGTCACACAACTGTTAATCCATCTGCTTTTATAATCAGGCTCTGACTGTCTCTCCCGTTCCACAGATCATCTTTCGTAAGATCAGTGATGTGAAGAAAGAGGAGGAGGAGCGCCTCCGGCAGAAGAATGAGGTGACCCTCAGCATCCCTGTGGACCACCCGGTCAGAAAGCTCTTCCAGAAGTTCAAGCAGCAGAAGGAGCTGCGGAATCAGGGCTCAACACAGGGTGACCCCGAGAGGAACCAACTCCAGGTAGAGAGCCGCTCCTTACAGAATGGAGCCTCCATCACTGGCACCAGTGTGGTGACTGTGTCACAAATTACTCCCATTCAGACATCTCTGGCCTACGTGAAAACCAGCGAATCCCTTAAGCAGAACAACCGCGATGCCATGGAACTCAAGCCCAACGGCGGTGCTGACCAAAAATGTCTCAAAGTCAACAGCCCAATAAGAATGAAGAATGGAAATGGAAAAGGGTGGCTGCGACTCAAGAATAATATGGGAGCCCATGAGGAGAAAAAGGAAGACTGGAATAATGTCACTAAAGCTGAGTCAATGGGGCTATTGTCTGAGGATCCCAAGAGCAGTGATTCAGAGAACAGTGTGACCAAAAACCCACTAAGGAAAACAGATTCTTGTGACAGTGGAATTACAAAAAGTGACCTTCGTTTGGATAAGGCTGGGGAGGCCCGAAGTCCGCTGGAGCACAGTCCCATCCAGGCTGATGCCAAGCACCCGTTTTATCCCATCCCGGAGCAGGCCTTACAGACCACACTGCAGGAAGTCAAACACGAACTCAAAGAGGACATCCAGCTGCTCAGCTGCAGAATGACTGCCCTAGAAAAGCAGGTGGCAGAAATTTTAAAAATACTGTCAGAGAAAAGCATACCCCAGGCCTCGTCTCCCAAATCCCAAATGCCACTCCAAGTACCTCCCCAGATACCATGTCAGGATATTTTTAGTGTTTCAAGGCCTGAATCACCTGAATCTGACAAAGATGAAATCCACTTTTAATATATATACATATATATTTGTTAATATATTAAAACAGTATATACATATGTGTGTATATACAGTATATACATATATATATTTTCACTTGCTTTCAAGATGATGACCACACATGGATTTTGATATGTAAATATTGCATGTCCAGCTGGATTCTGGCCTGCCAAAGAAGATGATGATTAAAAACATAGATATTGCTTGTATATTATGCAGTTGACTGCATGCACAATTTACATTTATTTATAATCTCTATTCTATAATAAAAGAGTATGATTTTTGTTACCCAAGGCAATGTAATATTTGAAGAATCAGGGTCCAACCTGCCAATGTTGCCATGACAAATTTGATCTCAGGCTGAGTATGTATATCGTGCTATCATTTTCTCACTGTTCTGTTAAGTTAAAATTATAGATTAATGCCAAGGAAGAGTTCAGTCTTTTAAACTATTAGTACCATGTTATGATCTCTTTCCCTAGGATTTTTCTGTAACTTAGTGTTAGGTTCTTTTCCCCTACAGGCGGTGTTTGCTCCATTTAAATGACTGTTTTGTTGCTAAGTCAGATAACAGTGTGGGGTATTGAAAACTTATTGCTATGGGTTTTGTGCATGAATTACATTTTTGATCAACTATACCTCTCCTTTTTTAACATTATACTTAGATAGTAATCATTAGCTCTTATGTAAGGAAATCCCTACTCCCTCCTTCTTGGAGAACAGCTGCCATCTTGTAGGCTGACATTATCGACACCATAAATACTAAACTATTAATATAGTGTACGTTATTATAGAAACACTGCACTACAGGGTATAAGGCCTTTTGACAATTCACGTAAGAGATGCTGAATTTCCAAAGCTTATGAATGCTCTAAATTTGTATTTCCAAAACATGTTCAAGAGTGACGTTGAAAGGCTTCTTAGCAGAGAAATATACAAAAAAAAAAAGCATTTAAGTAATCATATCAAAATACTAACTATTATGATATAAAATAAAAAAGAGTGTAAACAGATAAATTTTTGTGGCATGTCTGTAACTTAGAAAGAATGAAACACTGGTACGGATTGTTGACACATGAATCTTAGTGTTTGTAGTGATAACACATGAAATGTGGTAAAACAAACAAACAAACCAAGAAGTAGACATTAAGTTGCTCGACTCAGATAACTGCTTTTCTATCATTTTATTATGGTTATAATTTTTAAAAGCTTTTTGCACACAGTTCTACTGCTGGACTTCTGCTAAGTTGATTCAATAAACTATTGTGGCTCAGGCAGATCCATTTATGAAAGGGGGATACTAGAGACTGAATTTTAGTCTTTTGAATTCAAATCCTCTTTGTAGAAAGTGCCTATTGTCAAGTTTTTTTTAAAAAAGTCACGAAGAGTTGTCCTGTATATAGCTAGTCCCTTAAATGATATGGATTGAGAATAAAATACACATTCACTTGTAAGAACCCAGGAGAACTTATTTCTTTTGACTAAACTATATTTTAGGAAGTTGTTCAGGGAAGCATACTTTTCAGTCAGCGCATGCACAGCATTTAATATGGGGAGCAGGGGAGTTAGTGTTTGCATGAAGTTGAAAATATGTGTGAGTAATTTATCTATTACTGGACCTTCTGTACATATATGTTAACAATATGCAAAAATGATGGCAAAATCGAAGGAGATATTTTGGTCTATTATACCTATTTGTATGAGCTTTTCTATCTCCCAGTATCCCCAACCAAAGCCACTAGAACTGAAAGACACGTTATCGCATTCAGACTTGAGAAGTGCAAAACAGTGATTTATAAAAACAGTTGCTATTTTAGAATTTCTACTGAACTTCACATGCCCACAAGATGTGCCTCTTTAATCTAGGAGTCTCGAAACATACGTTATGTGCCGTGGGCTCCGTTTTCCTTTCTTTGTGCACATAACTTCCATTAGCCATAATGGAAGTTTTCAGGGGAGCACGTCTCCATGTAATGCTACAATATCTACCTACCACAAACACAAGAAAATGAAATAATTATGGAGTAAGGAATCAGCCTTGAAATTGGAATTTTGTTGCTTTCATGGTGAGGATGATGTCTTTTTCTTGACCTCTGACATTTATTGAATTTCAGGATGTTTTTCTATCTGTTTAAGTCAAGTTTGGCTTAAGCTTTTAAAGGTGAATGTGTGGTTAAAATAAAAATCTGAGTACAGAAGTTGTTAGTTTAACTTTAGCCAGTGCTTCAAAAATAACTGTTGGTATAAAACTGTAAAAGAATGACTGTGAACAACATGATGATTTGAAGTTCTAATTCATGCCTTTGCATATTAGTGGTGCAAATATTTACCGTGTTCTGACATTGACATAGAGTTTCACCTAATTGACCTACAATATTATTGTTCATATATGTGAGAAACATAATGGTTTTGAATTACTCCGAGTTTTCAAGAAGGAGGGAAAGTATCAATTATTTATTTATGGCACAGTTATCATAGAGTTTTTTCAGCCATCTCTGTTCTCTGTGTGCATGATATGAAGAGGTGCTGAATGCACCCCGCTGTTTTCAGCAGGAATGCGTGTTTTCAGCAAACATTGTATATAGAGTAGTCTTTTAGGTTCCCAGATTCCACGAATCTTAGCAGTTGAATTTACTCAGATTTGAATGAAGGGTGAACACTTGCTTTAATACATGCAATAATGATACAATCATGTTCTATGTTGCCTCAGCTAGCACATAGACAGTAGATGCTCTTTTGGGGACCAGATAACTGCATGTTTTATTCCTACACTGTATAGATGCTCTTGGTGCATCCAGAATAAAATTTTTAATATTATATTTCTAAATAATGTATTAATAGGAGTAAATGGATATGTATTTGAAATCCAAACATTTTCCAAAGCAATTTACGCACCTTCAATATTTTTCTATGATGTTATTAATAGGTAAGATCAGATGCTGTATCCTCGACAGGTGGTTGTAACATAATAGCAAAAGTCAAATTAGAATGGAAATGTGAGTGATGTATCATAATGGCAAGTTTTATCAGTCTGCATCAGGATATTGTTGCACTAAATGTGATCTAGCAGATGGAAGAGATTATGATAAAAGGCAAATGGGCACACAAAAGCCAGATGACAATACCAAAGCTACATGAATGGTACTGAAAATGGTTCAGGCACAGTGGTTGAAATGAATGAAGTGGTTGAATACAGGCCCATGCTTCATTGTTAAAATGGAAAATTTTTATGACGCTAGTTGCATCTCGCATTAAGTATAGGACTAAAAATGTCCTAAGTATTTTTTTTACAAACAACTTTATGCATATCAAAGAAAAAATGGAAAATTTGGGGTTTGAAATTGCTCTAGAAGAAATGTGTACTTCTATTGTACTCAACACTTTAATAGGAAAATTAGTTGTGACTGTTAACTGAAGTACCGTTATCAAAATTAACCTTATTGGAGCCCAGATGAAAATCACATTTTCCCTTCTGTTTAAGGAGATTTTGTTCACCCTCTGAGATCTGGTCCATTTGATGTCTTATTTTAAATAATTAAAGTCATTTGGAATTTTTTTTTAATATTAGCCTTCAGAGCAGTGACTGTTTTGAAGTGTGCAGTGGCAGATATTTGTGAAATTATTCATCATATTCCTAATGAATTCCACTATCTTGTATAATTTTCATCGTTTAAGCAATTTTCTCAGAGTTTGTTTTCCAAAATTTCATGTAGGTAATGAGAACATTTATCTAGAATGTGCATATCATACATGGATAACTTTCAAATATGAATATTTTATAGTCATGTGAATGTTGTGCTATAATTTTTTCTATTAGGTGTAAAAGTATTTCTCTTCTTGTCTTAATGGAAAGGGGGAAAAGACAAAAACAATCTTTTGGAAAACACCTTAAGATTAGTATCTGAGCTTTGTCTTGGATTCTGAATTTAGCTTTACCACAAACTAGAAGTGTAATTATGGGCAAGTTAACCTTTTCTGGTGTACCAAATGCTACCATTCCCCCGGCAATAAATAAGAAAACAAAGATAATAGCTGTTGCCTTCTTATATCAACACACTATTAGGTAATGCAAAAATTATCTTTCTTGCAGGTGAAAATTACATTATGACAAATGATCACTTTTTCATTCCTTCATAGAAGAGTATCCATGATGTACTCTCTATCAAAATATTCTTCTAGATTTTAGAAGATATTTCAGGGATTGATGGTGATGTGATTTTTATCTAAATATTCTTTTAGGTTTTAGAAGAGATTTATCTGGTCAGAGGTTGATGGAGGGAGGCATAGTTTGCTAAATAATTATTAGTGGCAGGTCAGCATAAAGCTTGATACTTCTCTGGGAATTTAGAACTACGAATCAAATAAACATGGAGAGAATGAAGCTCCGTTGATGGAAGAGAGAAAGAAGAGAAAGATAGGTAAATTTTAAGATTTTTCTTAATTCTACTTAATCATACTGCTTGGCGGACATTCTCAATTTTGTGAAAAAAGTATGCATATTGATAAGTGGCCAAGGTATAGAGTAGTTCATCAATATATCTATGTGACAAAACTAAATGTGTAACCCTTAAATTTATACAAATAAAAACTAGAGTAGTTCATCCTTCAACTTTTTATATTAAAATAATCATGAACTGTTCAAGATACATGATTTCACATGAGCAGACATTCTTATAACAAAATTCTCAACTATGTGCTATGTATTATAAGTTTTGGTCTGTATTCTGACTTGAGATTTTCTATCACTTCATGTTTAGGATAAGACCCATGTGTTTGCATTCTTTATGAGGGTCAGGGCCACTGAGGATTTGGACTGGGAACTAGGAAGATGATGAAGGCGAGGGTTGAGAAAAGACTGAGTAGAATCTATCTACTTCTTTACTCTTAGACTTAGAAGTTAAATAAGTTAACTAAGCTTATATTTACCAAGTGTTCACTATGATAAGCATTTTATTTAGGTTATCAAATTTAATTCTTGCAACAACCCCATGAAGGTATAAGTTAAGGAACTTGTCCAGGATAGCATACCTGTTACATGGTAAAGTTGAGTTTCCAACACATGCAGTCAGACCTTAGGGAGAAAACTTTATTTTGTAGAATACTGACGTTACAAGAACTATCTACTTCAACCGTTTGGTCTAAGTTTTTCGAGACACAAACTTTTAAAGATTTCTTAAAATAATTCTTAAAAATTGCACTCTATAATGTGAATGTAAATGTTTGTTTTTTCTTGGTAGGTCAGAGTCAATGACAGAGGTTGAAATCATACTGTCTTAAGCAAAAGGTGCCCTGTCCTAACAGTGGAATTTTCATTTACTTCTCCCAACAGTTGAAAGACATCAGCCAAAGTAAACTGTCAAATGTAGTTATAAATAAGAAGCATGTTTCACATACAGTCACTGGTATCAACATTTCCAGTTGAATTTTAACCTAAAGAGATAATGCATAATAATTAAGGAAAGCAAGAGTCATTCAGGATTTTTTCTATAATTTCTTTTTATTTTTAATAGTGGGATTTGGATGAGACTCTGGAATTTATTTTTAAAATTTATTTTTTGACTCATTGGGTTTTAAGTAGATTATTCAGATATTTTTATTGATTGCACTGATGTTGGCTTCTTGGCCAAGCCACCATTAAATGCATTATCCAAATTAACTATCTCTGTTTAGAATGGCAACTTTTATCTTTATATCCAAAATTAATGAGTTCCTAGTATGTGTATTTACTTCAGAGAGTTTCAATAATTTTCTCTAATGAAAAAATGTTAATTTTCTGAATGTGATTTATTTGTTCTACACTTTGAGATTTTGAATGCAAGTGTCTTGAGAAAAGGAGAAAAAACCAAGATATTACAACACTGCATGCTGGAATCTTGAGCCCAAACCATCTTGTTTTCACTTGGCTAATAACTGAGCCAGAGGTAATCATAGAAAGGAATAATC